TTTTTTTTTTTTTTTTTTTTTTTTTAGAAGGTAATATGTTTGAATAAGAAATATAAGCTTGGAAATAAGACGACAAAATGTGTTTTTTGATACAGAATTGCTCACGAGACAACTGTATTACATTTGGCAAGACGAGATAATGTATATTTTTTGCACGACAATTTTCCATAACGAAGAATACTCCAACGAAACGAAGAGTAAATCCTCGTACAAGAGTAGTTACTTATCTTCTTTGTCTTTTTTTTTTTCCCTTCCTTTAAAGCGAAAAATCCCATTATATCTTTGTGACAATCTAATATATATGAGTATACAGGATCAAGTATAATACATTGCAAACCCAAATTCAAATATTGACTGACCGAATTTCAATCCATTATAAATATTTTGAGAAGTAATTTTTATAAGAAGAATCAAATATTGATCGAATGTGTAGATTAAAAACAATAGAAATTCTTAATAATGTAAACTAAATTTACCACTTTGACTAATTTAATTTAATTTGTTAGATGATTACAATTATAAAAATTCATTTTAAATATTATTTCAATATATATTCAATTCTCTAATACTTGTAAGATTATTCATTTATTCATTCTAATATCAAAGTACTTACAAGCAAATTTCCATAACTTGTATGTATTCACTTTGACGTATAAAACTATAAAACTCAAATACTTTGCACAATGAATACACTATTATACCTGATGAATAACAATATTCAAGCTTGATATAAAACCTGAATTTCGTACGTTAAATTTAATTTAGATTTATAATTACATATTAAACTCCATCCCATAAAATACAAAACTTCTAAATTACAAAATATGTTTCAAAAATGATGATAATAAATTTGCACTCATTCATTAAAAAATCAAGTATCCACCGTCTTTTTTAATAAGCAACCCCCAATTTTTAACCGACTTTCTTTCCCCCTCAATACATCAACACTCTTCGCATACTTCCACACACACACACACACACACACATTTTTCCCCCCCTCCTGTACGTTCGCCTTTTCTCCCTTACATCTCTCCCTCGCTAATAGGATTTAATTTTCCTTCTCTCCTGATCGACGATCTCATTGACTATTAATGGGCGAGGGGGGGGAAATCTCCTGGCCTGGATCCCGTTCGTTCGTTTACCATTCTCCTGCATCCGACACCTGCGGAATAAACCTATATAGACCGATAGAACACAAAGCGTGACGCACACCATCGCCAACCACTACCACAGCGCTGGTGGAAAGCTTCTGGTGATGGTCTATCGCGCGCGACGGACACCTTCTTCTTCACCAGGCGTAATTGAACTCGGTTACCTTTCATCTGGATCTTTAGAGGTAATCACCGAGACCAGAATTACCACCGGATCTCTTCTTCTTCTTTTTTCGTTCGAGGAGAAGACCAAGCGACGAGAGAAACAAGGGGGTGGGTTATGAAAAAATTAATTAACGCACAGCACGAGTAGTCAGGAAAAGTTTAAATTGGAGGAGGAGGAGAGAGAAAGTGATAATGATGGTAATGAAACTTGAAATGGTATTTATATTTAAACAATGTAATGGAATGTTGTTTCTTTGTCCCTGTTTTTCCATTTCCAATTGGTATTGGTTCATCCACTAATGAATATTTTTTTCAATAAATATAAAGAACAATCGCGAGTAACAGCATCGAAACGAAAAACGAGTATGCATGTAAAAATTCTTTTTCATTGAAAATTTCTTTGGGAAAAGAGCCGTGACGCAACGCGTCATTCCTCGTAAAATAACGAGTCCCTCAACGATTTCTACGTTGTTCAGATTGAATATGTCGATGTGACAGTTAAATGTACATATTCTGCACACGATGAATAAATATCGTTTATTTTTCATTATAAATATGTAGATATTTATACTTTCCATTTCACTTTTTGTGTTTATATTTAAATCTATTGAAGTAAGAAAGGCGGTTTTTTTTAAACGTATTTTTATTGGTGATATAATTAAATGTAACGCGTAAGTTTGACGAGATACGACACGAAAGAACGAATTGAGAAGTGAAGTTGAAAATTCTGAATCTCTGAATGAAAGCTACCCCTTGCAATAACATTATTGCATTAGATAACAAGAAGATACTCGAGCGAGGATAAGTGATAAGCCACGTTTTAGCATGAATTGATAAACAATCTAATCTAACGATACGCAAAGATAATGCAAAGAACGTTTAATAGGAACGAAATATGAATTTACAATCCATCTTTGTGTTATTCGTAATTTTTAACATTTGAATAATAATCAAATATTATTAAAATTTAAGTTTTTTCTTTAAGAGAATCTTTTCTGAGGCGCAAGCAACTTGAAAATTATTATTTTCATTTTCTTTCTCGAATTATTTAAGAATTGAGAAAAATATAGAAAAGGAAAATTTAGATTTAAAAATTTGTCTCATTCATAAAAATTCATTTCAAAATTTTTACTCTAATCTCAATTTCGAACGATAAAGTTCCTTCTATGCGAGAAATACGTGCATCAGATTCCGTATGAGACAAAGAAACCGACAAGAAAGTGGTACGTACACGCGAAATTAGATTCCATAGAAATAGAAACAAAGAAACGGGACGATGGGCGCGAGTTAAATGAAAATTTTTCCACAATGTGGACAACGTGGAACACGTTTGAACGAACAAGCGACGTTAAAAATATACTCTAAAAAAACGTAACCCTCAATGAGGTGGGCCGAAAAATT